CACCTGCATTATGTAGCTCCTCCAGGGCTCTGTCTGACATGAAAACATGGTCAAAACCCTGTTCTAGTCACTCCAGATGCTGACCGTTCTACACACATTGGAAGTCTGAGAACAGCATTCACAGGGTTGCTACTCCCTTGATTTTTATTCCATTTCAGGCTACTTAGCCCATTCTTTGCTTTAGCTCTATGGATGGTTGCCCCAAGGATATAGAAAGTAATCAGTAAGGCATTTACAAATGATAATGGTTTAATGACTGTCCAAGGCACATTGGACACTTTCCTAGATCCAATTAACTCCTTCCCTCCCTTGTTAGAGTCAATTTATAGAGAAAATTTACAATAAAGGAAACAAACCACAAACTCTAGGTGGGAATTTTTCAGCTTAGGTATCTTGGTTACAGCCTGTCCTAAGACTACTGACAGTCCCATGCTACTGCTTCTAGTTGGACTTTGTCTCAGAAGAGCCCTTATAACATGTTCCGCAAAGATTTTCTATGGGAACTAAAAAGGGACAAATATAGAAGATACTCTAGCACCAGCCAGTGTCTTCAGCTTCTTAGTTGCTCAGGTAATACTTCCAGTTACATTTCCAGTTGTTTGTGTCTCATAGAAAGGACTGCCACTGTAATGCATAGCTTGTCACTATGATGCATACCATAATAATCAATCAAAGATAGCCACATACTCTACCGCTATATCCCTTCCTTTTTGCAGCCCCACAAAAAGCTCTCTCCCTGGCCCTTCAAGGCTAGAGATTTTGAGGGACAATTTTATCTCTTCTGTATTTAGGGCAAGGTCTACAGGGTCTCACTAGGCAGATCATATTCATAGTGATTCTCCTGTATTCAGCCTCCCAAGTGCTGGTATTACAGGCTTGTGCCACCACACCCAGTCTCAACTGCTGTCTCAGAAAGTCCTGGGGGTGGGGCCAGCATGGCATAAAGGACAATTGATTCTTGTCAGTGCCCATCCCATCTTAAATAAATCTACCTTTAACCCTAGGTGTTGTTTTAATGTTTCTGTTTGCTGGTGAGCTTCTTGTCCACTTCACAAGAGTCTCAAAATTTCTCAGTTGAAAGAAGCAAAAAGTTTTGTATCTAAAAATTTGATCGCATAGAACTTGAGAGTAGGTGAGCAGTTTCTGGGGGTTCTGGCAAGGTGTGTGAGTGGGCAGAGTCCAAAAATTACAATCTGGCTTTCTTTTGCAAAATAGGGAGAATGCAATTAATAGTAACATATTTTAGAATTTAAAAGAACCAGAAGAGATGCTGTTGAATATTTCCATCTCAGAGAAACTTCTAAAATGCTTAAAGTGAGGGATATGCTAACTCTCCTGACTTGATAACTACACAGTGCACACCAATTGAAACAGTATACTGAACCTCATAAATGTCTTCAGTTAGTATGCATCTGTCAAAAATTACAAAACCTTGTAACACATTTACCACCGAAGAGAATGGGGCGTTCTGAGTCATAGCAAAAATGAATAAAGAAAGCCCTTGGCAAGGCTTATAAAATACTTTGTTTGTCCCACAGAATGTGAGAGTTAGGCTTTGAATGAGCTTCCTCTCCCTTCTCCTCTCCCTTTTTCCTCCTCCTGTTCTTCTCCATCTTTTCTTCCCATTCACAGTGGTATTACGTACTTTTAAAGAAACACCGTACATGTTTATGTGACATTATTTGCATGTAGAGAAGCATGATAGTGACAATTACTGCGGAGTGCCTATTATTGAGAATACCTGAAGGTTTCCCGCCTTTGTCACCCAGCTAAGGGCCCTGAGCATAGGCCTTCTGCCCCCAAGCTTACATAATGAGTTAAAGGAATCACAAAACTATTAGTACTTTTTAGGGGCTTTGTGAGAGGAAAAGAGAGAAAACTAAAAGTTAGGACTTTGAGAATGAACTGTTTACCATTTATTACGGATTATGTCTTGATGTCCCCACAGAGCTGCGTGTGGCCATGGGGGTGCTTAAGACAACTTGTTGAACCTGGATCTCATTTTCATAGCCTTACCTCAGGAAACAGTTACAGCATTTCCAGCTCCACTCAGCAGGCAAAGAGGGTCCTCACTTTTTAAGCGTCCTCAGCCTGTTCAAGAGGGATGGTACAGGTGCTACATACTTTCTGGGGGTGGGAGTAGCCTGCAATGTAAGGGAGGAAAAGAGAATTTCATCCCCTCCCTTTTGCTCTTGCTGCTTTTGCTGTCTTCTGACTCTTTGAACTATTACCCCAGTGCCATGTTACCCTGCTTTGGATCCAGCTGATTGCAAACTAAATCCTCCAAAAACTGTGAGCTAAAATAAACCTTTACTTCCTTAATTTAGGGCATCAGGTGTTTTGTCTCAACAACAAGTGAGCAGTAAGTAAGAGTATTATATAATGAGACAGTGCATATGTGACATTATATATTTGTCACAACCCATATGACTTGGTTACTTTTCTCTCATTGCTGGCACAAAATACCCAACATCCAAAAATAAGGACAGAAAGATTTATTTAGCACAAAGTTTGTGCAGGTTTCAGTCCATGCTTGGCTGGTTTCAAGGCATATGGAAGAAGGCAGAAGTTCATGGTGGCAGAAAACAGCAAGAGCAAAAGAGCAGGTGCAATGGCAGTGGCTACAGAGAGCAAGCCTCTCTCCTCTCCTTAGCATTCAGGCTATCATCCCTGGGCGTAGCACTCATGCCCATATCTAAGCATTGGATCATGACTTGACCACAATGACTGCATGAGACTTTGGGCAGGATAACTCGATACAAATCATAGCAGCATAGTATTATAACTGCAGTGTAAAATCCGTTGTGAACTGTGGATTCTACTCAATATTTATGAATAAATACAGGTTCATAAATTCTAGGAATTGTACCAAAAAGAGATGTTAGTAATACAGAAAACTGTGCTAGGGTTCCACATGGCAGATTGAGGTAACTGGGTGGACTTTTGTCTCAGTTTACTTGTGAGTCTAAAATCAACTTAAAAACAAAGTCTACTAGCAAAAATAATTTTAAAAAAATACAGAGAGCAGAATCCAAGCACTGGAATAAAAATGTTGCAAAATATGTCATCAGTTAAAAATAATTTGTGTCCTGAGTCTGCATAAAGAAAATAATTCTTTTAAAATATTTATTGGCTGATTAGCATGTGAGACTAGAAACTCAATAACAACCAATGTTGCAGTAACAGTTCTCACGAAAATGTGGGCACCCTGCTTGATATTGCAAAATAATAAGGATATTTTCTTGGACACAGAGTGTCTTTTCCATCCCTCCTCCAATACATGGAGAAAATAGTTTTACATTTGTGGTCCAGAACACAATAGGGCACAGCAGACTATTGCAAGGCAGAGACATTCTTTTCCCTGAACTTACTTATATTTGTGCTTATGTGCCACATCCCTCTCATCTGCATGGAGAATGCCCCGTTGAGTTGAGGCCCATTAACTCTATATGAAGCCCTGCTCTTAACATTACACTCCTATGACCCTAACCTCACTGTGCACACACACAGATATCATGTTCCTGCCTTCCTGTCTGTCTGGAAATTTAGGACTCACTCTCTTTGTTAGCAACTTGATCACAGTCATGCTTCTTCCCCCTGCCCTGAAAAGAAATTGACGTAGAGGAGTTCGTTAATGGTCTACAATATAAAATATTTTAATTATCTTCATTACTTACCCTAGTGAAAGTATAAGGAGATGCTTCCTGCAGTTTTTCCAGACCAATTGATCACAGAGCAGTCAGAGGTGTGGGAGATCCTTCAGGGCCAAGTGAATGAGATCCAGAGACGAGCGGCTCAAAGTTGCCAAAGTACTGGTGGAAGTCATAAGTCAGTGCAGAAAGTTTCTTTATTCTGTATGTAATATCTTGTTTACTGTTGGGAGAATTGTCAGAAATACTGCACAGAGTTGAAAATTACATGAACAGAATTTGCCCCAATCCTAATCATTGCATATTGTCAAGTAGTTCCAGTGGTGAACCTGCTTTTAGATTTATTGTCTGTCTATTTTGATCTGTCATGCCCAGTGAGAATTTCAAGTACTTTACTCAGGTTTGAAAGAATGTGTGTCTGCTATTTGGTCTTTTTCCTTAAAATGATATGTACCAGGATTCTGAGTTCACAAGTCTACTGCTCCCAACTACATTTTATTCTGTACTTGGTTAAAAAATTTTCACTTGGCGTAATGCTGAAAATATAAAAGGTTATTCCTTATTTAAAGTTCACTCTTCATTTTCTCTCACTCTCAAAACAAAACAAATCATGTATTGGTTAGATAATAAAGTGTAGATAATAACCACGTTTTATTTGTTTAGTCATCAGCTTCTTCCCAATAAGTGGAAGCATTACAGAACAAAATAAGTATATAAAGAAGGCACTGATTCAGGGGGAACACAACCTGAGATCAAAATTTATATTACTTGTAAATGTGAACTCATGTCTCTGCAGCTTTAGCTATAAGGCTCATATTAATTAAAAATCATGGAAGATTGTAACAGGTTTTTTTTTGTGCATTTCCTCTCTAAAATAACTAAAAACAATTGTTCAATTTGAAAACAAATCATTGATTCTCTTCTATCACTTCTTCCTGTTCCTAAACCTCTTAAGGATTTCATATACAAGATCCAGGGAAAGTACTACAAGATCCAGGGAAAGATCCAGATAAAGTGTTAGAGCTATAGTTGTGAATTAGCTGAGATGTGCTGAGCAGTTTTAACAACTGGCTGGTAGTGTTTGTGAAAAGACTGCACAGATTGTTCTGTGAACCAGAGCCAGCTTGGTCCTGCCCTGACTAACAAGCTGGACAGATTGCACAGGGACAGAGGGGAACAAGAGACTGCATGTCCTTCTGAGTGTCATGAGTGGACAACCACTGCTTAGCACCAAAGGTGGAACCTGAGCTAAAGAATTGTGATAAACCTTGAAAGGAGACTCTGATGCACACAGCTGAGACTGCATTACTTTGCGAATGTTCAGCTCACAGGATTTGATTTTTATTTTTTAGTCTCGCAAAAGACAAGGTCTCAGAAAACTGGTTCAAAAACTCAGAATTGTTCCTCTATATGGAAATCTTTAGTAAAAGGCAAAATATTTATTCAATCTGAAGATAAACCAGGATGTTTTTGAGCCATATGTGTGTCTCCACCGTAGGATTTTACTGAATTCTCAGCTGTCAAGTCTTTGCTTCCATAAGATCTTCCAGCATCTTCCTAGAATTGTTGTTGTTCCCTATTATCCATGGGGCAGGAAACACAGTGGATACAAAGATCGTTAGATAGAGTACTGTATGTAACCTACACACACCCTTGAGTATTGCTTAATCCACCTGTAGATTATTTAGAGTACTTATTCCAATGCAAGTGATACATTAATAACACTGTTCTACTGCTTTGTTTGGGGAATCATGTAGAAGATAAAAGTAAATCTTCAGTATAGATGCAATTAATAATACACTGTAGTTAGTTCAATCTAAGGATATGGAACCCATGAGGCAAAAGGCAAATTATTATTCCTTCTTCCTGGTGCATTTGTGTCATTTTGTCATTAATTATGAAGTTATCTTCATGTATCTGCCTTTTACAGAATATTAGAGGATAGAGGATATATTAAAGGATAGCTACAGTCTATGCTTATAAAGTGTTTCCATCACAACAAATTTGTGGCTCTTCCAATGCGAACTAATATTTAGGAGATGTTTGATGTCAAAAGGGACATTTTCTATTGATTCAAGGTCATAGTGGGGAGATTATGTATTTGAAAAGGCTTTTCAGTGAGATAAACTTGGCCCCAAAATTTTGCCCCATCACTAGTACTCATTATATAAGCTTCTAGAGTCTAGCTCTTTCACAAGCAATCCATGCTAGTTTTTATCAGGCATATCATAAAAAACAGTTGAAGGCAAGAAATGGAAAACAGAATGGAAAAAAAAATTGATGCAATAGCCCTGCAAACTTCCAAAAGTGTTGAGACAAAACAGAACGTTGGATTTTGACCCTTTCCCCATGTCTGCATGCCTGACTGTTTTCATAGTGGTTCTACAAGATCTGCTTGCTGAAAATGACCTTGATACACTATCATTACTTTACACGCTAAGCAACAAAGGTTCAAGTCTCAGAGCCAAACAGCTGCTAAGTATTAGATCTGAAAATCAAGTCTAATTTTCTCCAAACACAATTATGTTTTGATTATTGTATTCTCTTTAGTTTCTCCTAAATCTCTTCATTTTCATTTATAATCCACGGGCACTGGCATTATACAAATGCCTGGCATATTGAATTCCACATAAATATCTCATTATCAATAAAAGATCAGTATTGGAGTGTGTGGGAGAGCTTCCTGCTCTGCACCAGCGGGACCAAATACCAGTCCCAGCCCAGGCGCAGCATGGGCCAGACCCTCTCCCACCCCCTTGGGAAGTCCCCCAACACTCCGCGGCAAGTCCTCCAACCCTCCTGCGGAGTAGGAATTTCTGCCACGTTCCGGGAACCCCCAGACCCAGTCCTAGCCCAGACACAGTGAGTGTGTGGGAGAGCTTCCTCTCCACCCTACTCCACCTTGCCCCCTCCAGGCACAGCTCAGGCCTGGCATACATGCCTGGGGTGTAACCCTGCAGATGCATTCCTTGTAGAGAGTGTAGAGGATAGAACCACCCAGCTAGTCCAGGAGCAGAACATCTTGCCACAGGGGCACAACAGGTTCACCCTCAAGGGCAGCAGGAGGAAGGAGCTGAGCACAGCAGCTATATCCAAGCCAGGCACAACTGAATAAATCCAAACATTGTAGAGCTGCACCTGAACATCAGTACGTGCGATGGTTATAACTACAACAAAGATCTACAGAAAAGGTCAGAAGACAGTGCTACACAAAATGATGAGAAGGAACAAAATGCAACCTCAGAACCCAAGCCCACCCATAACAAGTGCAGGGGATACTAACACAGAACAAATTGGGAATCACACATCTGAAAGCAATGAATCAACAGCTTCTGAAATAAGCAAACAGCTGCAGAAAGGTATAGAGGAACTCAGATTGGAAATAAAAAAAGAAATCCCTGAATTGATAACATCTTCAGTAAAGAATCAATGCAGAAACATATGGAGGAAACTGAGTGCCCACCCAGAACAAGTGCGGAGGACACTAGCACAGCTCAAATGCATGAATTAATAGCGTCGATAGTAAATAAGCAACAGCAGAAAGATATAGAGGAAATCAGAGCGAAATTCTTTTCTGAAATAAAAAGGAAACTCTCAGAACTGATAGCATGTGAAGTAAAAAAGCAACCACAGAAACATAGGGAGGAAACCCAATTCGAAAAAAACACTGCAGTAAAAGAATTTATAACTGCTTCTAAAGAAGATATTGATAAAAAAAATAGAGGACATTAGAAAAACGACGGATTCCTTGAATGAGCAATACAGGAAAGAAATGGAT